TTCGGCCCACTTCTTCCGACTGACGGGTTCCCGTACAGCTACTTTCGCTTGTTTTTTTGTTTTTTATTGAGGGGTTTCATGGGAGGCCCTCGTCGCCACCGCTGGATGCGCCTCGGAATTCTGGTCAGAACGCACCCCTGAAGAGGGTCTGGAGAGTACCCCGAGTTTCTTAATAGGCGTGGGGGGGGGCGTCACCCCCGCCGACAGCCCCACATCGACCCCCGTCGCGGACAGCCACCGCGCGCCGAAGGCGCTCCGACCCCCGTCGCGGCGCGACGACGAGGCGAGGTTGACCCCCGTCGAGGGGCACCCCCCCACGCTCATCAAGAAACCCGGGGCAGCGGTCCCCGTAACCTTCGATTGGCCTCGCAGTGCCTGCCTTGGGGGAGGCGGGTCCCGAGGGAAGCAGTTCCTGAGGTTCTCTGCCGTTTCCGTTATGTCGGGCGTGTCCCCCTTGACAGGGGCATTTTCGACGAAGAATCAAACATAGTCGAAAAATATTCCAAAAAGGCAAAAAACACAAATACTCAAACATTAGCCCCCCGACGATGTTTGGAATATTGTTTGATTATTGTTTGGGGTATTTTCTATTTTCGTCGAAAATCCCCCTGTAGGGGGACAGGCCCGACTTCACGTTTCCGGGCGCTCGGGGCCCTCCGCGGGCCCCCCCCGGACTATCAGAAGAGGACTCGGGACGAGGACCTGGTTTTCGGGGGAGGGCCCACCTCCTCCTCCTCCTCCTCCTCCTCCTCCTCCTCCTCCTCCTCCTCCTCCTCCCCCTCCTCTCCTCCTCCTCCTCCTCCTCCTCCTCCTCCTCCTCTCCTCCCTCTCTCCTCCTCCTCCTCCTCCTCTCCTCCTCCTCCTCCTCCTCCTCCTCCTCCTCCTCCTCCTCTCCTCCTCCTCCTCCCCTCCCCCTCCCCCCTCCCCCCCCCCCCTCCTCCTCCTCCTCCTCCTCCTCCTCCTTCTCCTCTGGGTTTTCGGGGGAGGGCCCAAAGTGTCCAGGTCCCGCTTTCCTCGGGACCCGCTTCCCCACATGCCAAATGGGGTCGCCATGAAGCAGGCGGGTCTCGCTTCCTTCACGTCCCCCCCGGCGGCTCGAGGATGAAACCCTGGGCGGGACCAGCACGAGGACAGATCCGTTGCAGGGCCTTCCAGAACGCTCTCCGAGCGTTCCGAACGCTCGGGGAAGGCCGCGGCGCTCGAGACACTTCTCCAGTGCCGCCGGACCTCAGAGATTCGCGATTCTTCCCTACCCGATTTGATCCTCGTCTGGGCTGCGTCGTGTCTGAGGGAAGCGGGTCACCCAGGTCCCCCCCAGTGGCGCGAGGACAACCGCGCTTCGCGCACCTTGGCCTGGGCTGTTGGGCCACCCGTCTCCAGGGGGCGTTGCGGGGGTGCGAAGGCAGCCGCGCATCGCGCGGCGCGAGGGCGTGAAGCTCGATGGCCTAGGTCACGAAGGAGAGACCACGCCCTAAACATTTCGTTTGCGGAAGTTATGGTGGTCACCTTTTGGAGTCATTGATGTGCGGATCGGCACGGGCCTTCGCCCCCCCTTCCCACTTCCATGGAGTAGATCTTGGCCGTTTTGGGCGCCTGCTTCGAGAAGGTGGAGTCTCCACCATCCTGACGCACTGTTGCAGATAGTCGCGTGAAGCGGAGGTCCAGAGCCAGACCCCCCCCTCCCCCCAATATCGGAACGCCGAAAAAACGAAAACGCTGACATGAGTTCCATGATGCCTTCTGGGACTGGCGTTGGCCAGAGGCGCCAACAAGAAAGTCCAGCGGCGATCCGAGAGAGCCGCGCGGACCTCTGAGCCTTCGCTTTCGTGCAATTCCTTCTCCTCTCCAGATGGGCCCTGCGATGTTTCGGGCTCTCGGGGCCCTAATTCAGGAAGGAAAAACACAGACACAGACACAATCAATCGTCGATCCCCTAGAAAATATGGGAAAATATGGGAAGTGGGGGGGAAGACAAAAACCCAGAAAATATTGGAAAAGATAAGGAATCCCGTTATTTGTGCCCATGTATTTGTGTGTCCTAGGGCCTTTTTTCATTGCTTACCCGAGAGCCCGAGGACCGCTGGGCTCCCAGAACAAAAAAAAAAACACTACATGGGGGAAGGGCAGTGTCCTGGGCAGGGCCCCCGGAAGTCCTGGGCCCGGTGCTCACTCGGGATCCGTGTGCTGCACACCAAGACGAGCGACGGGAGGATTGGGATGGTCCCCTTTCCTCTCGGAGGTTGATAAACCTCCTACCCTGACACGTCGATTAAGGAATTTGCCGTTTTCGGTTCGCGAGGGGGCGTCGCGGCCGTCATTTTTGCGGGTCCACGTCCGTCGGTTTCGGTCCCAGGCCGTTTTCGTTAAGGGGAGGTTTCCTAAAGGAAGGTTTGTCCACCGCCGATCCTCCCTCTCCGAGTCCTGCCGCTACTGCATCGAAGAATAGCTGGTCAGGCCACGGTTCATAGCACGAGTTTGCCCAGTGCAGGTCGGTTTGTGCGGTGTTCCTTGTTTCCCCAGCGATACTTTGATTCGCAGTGCTGCTGTGGCAACCGTGTGTCCTGTGCGGCGAGTAGAGGATGGGGAGGGAGGATCGAAGCTGCTCGTGTCGTAAGTTGCCCGCTTCCTGGGCCGCGACTTGTGCACCTGTCCGCTCCAACCTGGCCTGGTGGCCAGCAGGAGCTCCAGAACCGTCCTCTCTGGGGGGAGCCCCCACGCCCCACCCGAACACAGCCAGGCGCAGCGCACGCTTGTTGGAGGGCTTCATGTGGGCGCGCTCCTCGAACTCGTGCGCGCCCTCGTCCCGCCCACGGTGTCGTCACCGCCCACCGAACCACCCCAACCCCACCCGAAGGCCCCGATTTGCCCTCCATTCCCACTGGGGGGGGTTCGGGGAGCATTGGAAAAGCACGTGGGGAGCCCGTACCCCCCCCAACCCGAAATTCGGGTCTTCGGGTTGGGTTGGGGTGGCTGCTCTCCACTCGCAGTGGGGGAGGGGGGGTCGGGGAGATTCTGGAAAACCACGTGGGGAACCCGTACCCCCCCACCCGAAACTCGGGTTTTCGGGTTCGGTCGGGGTGGTCGCCCTCCAGTCCCAGTTGGAGGGGGGTCGGGGAGCTCTGGGAAGACTCGTGGGGATCCCGTGCCCCCCCCCCACCCGAAACATCGGAACTTCGGGTTCGGCGGGGGTGGTCGCCCGCCAGTCCCAGTGGGGGGGTCGGGGAGCTCTGGGAAGACTCGTGGGAGGCCTCCTCCTCCTCCTCCTCCTCCTCCTCCTCCTCCTCCTCCTCCTCCTCCTCCTCCACCCACCAAGCCACCCCAGCCCAGCCAGAAGGCTTCAATCTGCCCTCCATCTCCAGATGGGGGGGGGGATCGGGAAACATGGACAAACAACAGATCTGGAGCCCGTACCCCCCCCCCCCCAACCCGAAGTGCGGATTGGGTCGGGGTGGCCTGGTAGGTAGGTAGTCACAGGCCTCCCTCCGAGCGTCTGCGCTGGGCTTCTGCGCCGGGCGCCGCGCGGCGGCCTCCCCGTCCGCTGGCGCCGCCGCGGGCACGCCGCCTCTCGGGGGCGCCGCGGCCGGGCGCTGGGCTGCCTCCTCTCGACGGCATGGCCCGCCAGCGGTGCCCAGCCCTGCCCCGTGGCCAGGAGTGCTCGCGCCCCCGTCGCTCGCCCGGGGCGGGCGGGCGCAGGCAGCTTCGGGCGGAGCCTCGCGGCTCGCGCCGGGCGCCGCGCCTGGGCGAGGCGCGCCGCCGCCGCCGGCGGTTCCGCCTCCTCCACTTTTCGCCTGTTGCGCCAGCGCTCGTGCCTCGGCCCGCGCGCTCGGCGGCAGCGGGCTTGGCCCGCGGGCTCGCCGCCCGCGCCGCCGCAGGCCCCCTGCGGCTGGCGCTGGGCGTCTCGGCCGTGGCGCTCTGCTTCCTGCCTGGGCTGCGCTCCCGCAGCGAGGCCGGCGGCCTCCTCTGCCTGCCGCCCTCGGCGGCCTCCGGGGCGTCTTGCAGGGCGGCAAGCCACGCCGTCAGCGGCCCCGCCAGTGGCTCCAAGCCCTGGGCGCTGCCGTGGAGGACGTCCACCTCGGCCTCCTCCGCGCCCTGCTCCAGGTCGCAGCCCTCTGCGGTGCTGGTGCGGCCTCCGCCGAGCGCTCGGCTCGGGCCGGGGCCTCTTGCAGGCCCTCGGCGCCCCATGCTGCCTCCGCCAGCCGCCAGGCGTCGGCTTCTCGCTGCAGCCGTTCGGGCAAGCGGGTCTGCTCCAGCGTCGCCGCCCGTTCCGCCTCGTGGCGCGCAGCCTTCGCCACGTAGCCTGCCGTGGCTGGTCGAGACAGGTCGCCGTTTCTTAGGAGAGGAAAAACACACAGACACAATTAATCGTCGATCCCCAAGAAAATATTGGAAAATATGGGAATTGGGCGGGAAGACAAAAACCCAGAAAATATAGGAACATACGGGGAATCATTTTATTTGTGTGCATTTATGTGTGTGTCCTGGGGCCCCTTCAGTTTCCAGCGCCGCCCCGTCGGCAGCTGTGGCCTGCCGCTCGGCTCGCGCCTCCGCGGGCCGTGGCGCTTCGGCCCGGGCGGCGCCCAGGCGGGTCGGCTCTGAGTCCGCGGTGGCCGCCGAGCGCCACGAAAGCCGCCAGCCGCCGCCCTGCAGCTCGCCCCTTGGATGGAGAAGGAAAGAGGAGGGTGGAGGTAGAGGAGGAGGAGGAGGAGGAGGAGGAGGAGGAGGAGGAGGAGGAGGAGGGGGAGGAGGAGGAGGAGGAGGAGGAGGAGGAGGAGGAGGAGGAGGAGGAGGACGACGACGACGACGACCGACCCCCGGGCCTGAACTTGGGGAGCGTTCTGGCCAGAGTTCTCGAGGCGGGACTCATCCGTGGCCACGGGGGAGCCCCCAGGGGCCGAAGCAGGGCCAGAAACCATGACGACGACAACGACGGCGACGATGCCGACGTTGACAACGACAGCGACGACGGCGAGGCCGACGCTGACGGCGGCGGCGGCTGCGAG